GAATCGTGTTCATCTTTGGCACGGTGCTGCTGTGGTTCTGTCAGAGCAGAAAACACTGTCCTCCCCCCAGCGCTCCTGCAGGAGCAGCAGCATCGACGCAGGTGCTGCACAGCTCCCACCGGTTGCCGTATCGGGAGCGGGAGAGAGGATGCGCGGCCTCGTCCTCGAGTCCGGAGAAAGACTGCGTGGGCTCCATGAACTATGAGGAGTACCTGGCACAGCAGCAGCTCCTCCTCAGTCAGGGAGGACCCACACTTCCTCCAAAAATCTACCCCAAAATCTACACGGACATTCACACGCACACCCACTCCCACGTGGACGGGAAAGTGCATCAGCACCAGCACATCCACTTTCAGTGTTAGCCTCAAAAACGGATGTGTAGACTGAGAGGTTGAGAGTCAAACGCCTGCCATGACTCTCACCAAAGAGAGAAAAAAAAGACACTGCTCCTGATGTGACATTGTTGGGAGAATTAGCATCTGTGAAAATAATCAGTGGCCAGTCACACACACACACACACACACCATGTGTTTTTGTAGCCTGTTTTCCACATATGGTGCTTTAAAAACAACAAACCTTCAAACGATCACACCACTAAAACCTGTTCATCCTTGCTGTACAGAAAAAGGACACGGAGATCTTGAGGGTTTGATTTGAACTGCAACTTCTACAGGTCGACCTAAAGGTCTTCCTTCAATGCAGCGTCCCCCCCTCTCCTCCCCCCCGGCCTCCCTTTAAAGGTGTGGCAGAAAAGACAATGATCTACAAAGGGCTGGTTTTATTGCTCCTACTCAGGTAGTCCTTTGGTTCGTTTTGTTAAGATGAATAATGTTTGGATTGCTGACCACTATCTTCTACCTGTTTCCATCCCTCGATTCTGTACCGTGATTAAAACTGACACCGTTTTAATCCGAGCCGGTGCGACGGCGTGCCAACATTGCCTGAGACTGCGAGGAACGAACGAGCCGAGAAGTTTTTGTGTTCAACTGTTTTCTTCCTCCTTAGTTCGACTTCAGTTGGAGACAGTAGCGCGTTGACCAGCAGAGGACCAGTGTGCTGCTGTGACCACACCCCCCCCACCCACAGTATATGAAGCTGTAGTCGTTTGTATTCAAAGTGAGGCCTGAGTATTTAATTTATTTTGATAAGAAAAAAGTATCAAAAGTTTATTTTTCAGAGAAAGTTGTTTTACATATCTGTGTAAAGTTATTAAAAAATATGCCGTTGTCTTTAGTATATTTCGAGTACTTTGTAATCCCGTCTATTCACATGTAGTTCCTGGCAGTAATTAGACATTTCTGTATGTAATTGGTTGTATTTGACAATCTTGTATGATGTACTCTGTTCAGGCTCCAAAACTGACATCATCTGATTTGGTAGTTTGATTAAATGACCTGAAACGTACGTGTTACATGTTTTTGTTTTCATGTAACCTCGTCTGTGAATGTTCTTGAAAGCCTGTACAAGGAGAACAAAGCGTGAAAGTGCTGGTGAACATCTTCACTGACAGCTTCTGTTCTGAGGAACAGGGTCCAGACAGGTCAGCTTTCTCCCTTTGAGTCGCCTGAAGTGTCCGCTCAGGGTGACACAGAGGTCAGCCAGTGGGCCCACAGAGGGATGAATGAGGGAATAGATGCTGCAGAGACAAGAGCAGCTCCACAGAGATGAGTGATGGACACTGCAAGAATACACCCAATGTCCAGCTGACTCAACCCTGCACCTCCACAACCTAGGTAGGATTTCCTTTCTCTGTTTAGCAGCTCATTGTCCTGCCCTGGGAGTGATGTGACAGGACCTGCCATTGGTCAGGAGAGAAGAGGAGCGTTGTATCAGGTGAGCGTTTGTTTTGTTGGAAACACTGCTGGATGAGCCGTGGCTGCAGACAGAGAGGTCAGTGTTCTCACTCGGAGCTTAAATTTAACCACTGGACTTAAACCAAAGCGCGCATGAGGAGCTACAAAGACGAAATGCTGCCACCTAGGGGCTGAAATGAAATTCGACAAAATCTGAAAAAATGTAAACGAGAAACAAAATTGTGATTTAGAATGTTTATCTGGCCTCTGTATTCATTTTGTTTCTTTTCTGCTCTTAGTGGCACAAGTCGAATGTCCTTCCTGAAGTATTGATCCAGCAGGTGGCGGTATTGCAACATATTAGTTGCAGAACGGCTGGTCAGACTTATTGATGAAGAGACGAGTGGTTAGCCAATTAGTTTGGCTAAGGCTAAGTTTGAAGACGTTACTCTTGTAAGTATTCATTACAAAACTTCTGTCTTAATTGGCTTAATTGTGGAATCACATTTGGTGAGAGTTAATGGTTTTAAGTTCGCTTTATTCCAAAATGGGGGGTTAGCTCTAACGTTTAGAAAAGTAATTTCACAGATGAAACCCGTGCTACATTTAGCCACTCTGCTATGACCACACTGCTGTAGGTTGTCCTATTGTATTGCTTTGTATCTAGAGAGTGTTTTATACAAGTCGTAGACAAACAGTGTTCTCCAAATCTAAATCAGTCAGTTTGTTTCTGTGGACATTTTGACAAAGGTACAAGATTTACAAACAGTGTTCTCCAAATCTAAATCAATCAGTTTGTTTCTGTGGACATTTCGACAAAGGTACAAGATTTGACCATCAATGTCAAACCAGCGCAATCGTCTCTTTATGAAGGGTTTTTGAAGTGTGTTTGTAGCGCCTCCCTTAGGTGAGAACGTGTCAGGAAAAAAAAAATACTGCAGATTACATCTAAAAATCTCATTTTATTAAACTCTTTACATGTATTTTATACATTGAAATGATGACGCACAACAAAGAGAAAAGAGGGGAAAGTCATAGAAACAGTATGTACATGAGCTCAGCCGCTCTGGACTTTAGTGATGAGTTCGTCACAGAGTTTGGTCAGACCGTCAATCTCTTTATCCTGTAGGGGAAGAAATAAAGTACAGCTGTGATCAGTTGAACGGTTTTGAACATTCTCAGAGTTGTCTAATAGATGGTCTGAACATGTTCGCTCACCTTCTGGTCCAGACTCTTCTCCATCGACTGCACCTTCAGTTGCTCCCGCCGCAGATGTGCTTGTAGGGCAGATACCTCCGACTTGTACTTGGAGCGCACCTCTGCAATTTCTGCATTTGCGCTGAGAATTGAAGAATGTTATTGTGAGCCACTGCAGATGCTGTGGATTAACTGAATACACGGCAGAGTCTGATTTTTCTTACTGCTGAATTTTCTCCTCGGCGTGGGTTTTCAGGGTCTGGTAGCGCTGCTCCTCCTTCTTGATCCTGGCCAGGTGGTCCTGAGCACAAGCTTTAAGGGTCTCTTGATTCTAAGGAAATGGCACAGAAGCAACGAGAATCAAAGAACAGTAGACTGGGAATGTGTAAATATGAGCCATTATGTTCTCTCACGGTGACATTTCCTTGTGGTTTTCTCACCTTCTTGTAGCCCTCGATGACCTCCTTGTACTTCTCCAGTCTCTTGAAAAGCTCAGAGAAAGATCTCTCCATCGAGTTCAGGTCACTGGCTGTTTGGTCTCTCTCCAGCAGTGCCTCGTTGAGCCTCATCTCGGCCAACTCTTTTTCTTTCTCCTGAAAAGCTGTGGAGTTCACAAAAAGAAAATTATAGGACAAGTTTTATACCTGGTACAAAAAAAAAAAAAAAAAAAAAAACTCCTTTACTTACCCATATTTTTTGCAAGTTCGAGTTGCAATTCTGCAATTGCTTTTCTGCATAGAAGAAAATAAAAATTATTTTTTAAGATAATATTAAATACCGTGTTTAAAAAAAAAAAAAATAGAAAATGGACTGACCTCATTTCTTGACTTGAGTCAACTAGGGTTTTATACTTTGCCTCCCACTGCTCCTCTTTTTCCTTTCCCTATTACAGAAAAATAGATCATTTTACTCATTTAAAAAAAAACAACTTTTTCCCCACATGACTTCTTTGGACAATTAATATTCGTTTTTCCTTTCCCTATTACAGAAAAATATATCATTTTACTCATTTAAAAAACAACTTTTTCCCACATGACTTATTTGGACAATTAATATTCAGCCATGGTGTCAGTGAAGCCCTGAGACACTGAGATAGAACCAAAGTTACTCTGTATGTAAATTCAGCGGAGCCGCCATTGTTGTTTACAATTCCAGAGGGAAGGACAAAAAACAAACAAACAAACATGTAACCGACCTCAGCACGGACTTTGTCCATGGCTTCGTCCATGTCTTTCTGACTGTACTTCAACACTTCGATGATTGCGTCTTCTGTGTTTGTGGGTTGTGGGAAAGGGGGGACCAGGCTCTGCAGGATTGGAGACTGGTTGACAAAGTTCCAAAAATCAAGTTAGAAAATGGAGCTGGATGGCGGCAGATGGAGTCAGTGGTGCAGTGACAGGGGAGACTTACCGGTGTGGCAACATCAATCAGCTTGAAATCAGAGATTTGTGGTTCATTTGCTGCTGCCTTCACTGGCAGCTGTGCAGCTTCGAGTCTGTTTTGGAGGAGTGACACGGTGCATGTGGTTACGTGTCAGGAAGAATTGTACTTTTGTGTGCATGATGTGGATAGCAGAACAATTTCAACTCTAACATGTAGTGACGGCAGCAGCAATCACAGTAAGTAGAAACAGGAGGAAGTGTTACCGTGAAGCCAGAGTAGCGGGACGAGGAACCTGGGTGCGAGCATCAGCAGGGGGCGCACATTTCCTTGGACTCTCTCTGAGGAGTGGGTCGAATTTAAGGTACAGGGACTGTTTCCTTAGTGCTGAGTCTTTAAACTTTGAGAGGTCAAAAATGATGATTAGAGGTCTCTGAATGAATAAGATGAAAATGTAGGAGTTATGGAGCAAATACTTACACCACTGGATCCAAACTGCTCAAGGTAATCGATTTGTCCATCAAAATCATTGGTCATGACTACAAATGAAGACAAGGTTCGTGTCAACATCAGATGTCTTAGATCACAGTCAGGTTTCAAAAGCAATATAAATAAATCGACTCCATTATCGCTGTACGTTAGAAAAAAAAACATTTGTCCAACTGAGCCAGGTTTTCTGCTGCAAACACATTTTTTCACAATACACTTTTGGCTTCTGTAAATGCTCAAAATATCATTTCAAGCACTATTTAACATGAAAATACGTGTGAGTCTCAAATATTGATCGACTTTCTAGAAAATACGTGTGAGTCTCAAATATTGATTGACTTTCTAGTTTAGCTGATGAGAGTAGATGCAGACAAAGAAAACTTACACATTGTTCCAGGAACAAAGTCCCCTGTGAAATCTAACATGGGTTCCTCTGGTTTCTGCTCTGGTTTCTGCTCTGGTTCATCTGGCAGAGAGAGCTGGGGACAACTCGGCACAGATCCCAGGTCTGTGTCAGGGACCGCAGGGCTGGACACAGCAGCTGTGACAGTTTCTTCAATGCTGCAGAAAAATACAGTGGAAAAACAGTCAATTTATTTGTTGTCTTAAGACAGATAATAGGAGAGGGAAAAAACAAAAACATACTGTGTTGGTGGAGCAGCTTCCTTCTCCACTGCCTCCTCTGTTGACTCTGGAATGGCAGGTTCTTTGAGCACGGAGCTGGCGTTGTTGCTGCACTGGGGAGAGTTGTTCATGTTTGCATTGCTGCCAAATGGATTGAAGTTGGGGTCGTCCAGTTTGTCAAAGTCAAAGGAATAAGAGCCTTTAGGGACTGGAACGTCCTCTGCTGACGGGGCGTCAGGCTTCGCTGTGGTTTCATTCTTAGGTTTGACTTCCGGTGCTGAAGTCCCTTCTTTAGATTTCACAGAGGACGGCCTCTTGCCAAACTTCTTGGGTGGTCGTTTCGATTTGACCTCCTTTCCGTCATCAAAATTGAACTCCAGTTTGATTGGGCCTTCCTTGGCCGAGGCAACGTGTGGCTGGGATTCAGCAGCTGGAGTTTCGTCCACGTTGGTGGATATCGGCTTCACAGCAGCGACGGGCTTCACCTCGTGTTTTTGGACCACTTCAGGGACCTCCAGTTCTTCTGCTGGTTTACTTTCATCAACCTGTGGCTCCACTTGAGGTCGATTGTCGTCGGGCAGCTTTCTATCCAGAACAGGCGAGTTCTGGATTTTAGAGCTTTTAGTCTGGAAGGGGTTTATGTCATCGAGGTTGTCGAAATCAAAGTTATAAGAACCTTTGGCAGGGAGCGGAGCTTCATCGATGACGCTGCCTGACGCCTTGTCCTGCTCAGCATTCAGAGATGTCTGAACAGGTTCTTGTACGTCAGGCGTGGCGCTGCGCGAATCCTGTTCCTCAACTGCTGCGACTGGAGTCACGGTGACCACGCTGCTCTCTGTGGAGCTGACGTTAGCTGACATGTCCGCCAGCGAATTCTCCACAGACGGCGTGAGTGGAAGCGTCTCATCCAGGGCAGTTTCCGTCTTGGTGGGTTTCTCCACAACATCTTCTGGCTCTGTGTTTTGAGGCTGACTTTGATCTGAAGGAGGGTTTTTGGCAGCGAACTCGACCGATGACAGAACCATCTTGTTGGAGCACTGAAAAGGATTTATAGAGTCTAGGTTGTCAAAGTCCAGCTCATAGCCACCTTTGCTTTGTATCGGCATATCGTCATCAGGATATGTGGACACTTCTGTGGAAGACATGACAACTGTCAATCAGGTTCTCACCTTTTGATTGACGTATTAATGTTATGTTTATTATATTTCATAGAGAGAAACTTTAAAATACCTGTTTTTTGCTCATCAGACTGAACAGGGACATCTGGTGGTGAAACACTACAATAGAGGTAGATTATTTTTGTCTTTATTAATCAAGTTTTACGACAACATAAACAAGTGCATGTTTTTGTGTGACTCACTGTGTTTTGTCCAGATTTAAAGACTCCAGTGCTTTGGTGCACTCCTCAACACTGCTCATCTTTGTCGACTTGCTGGGAGACACGATTCTCTTCGTCACAGGATCTCGTCTCGGAGTTTGAAAACAGACCTAAACACAAACAGTTTGAAAAGTGTGAGTTAATCTGCTGAAGGATTTAAAAAAAGAAATGTAGAAACACCAACAATTCAGAAGAAGAATCAGATTCTCTCTTTTTCAGATGGAAAATAAAACCAGAGTCACTTGGCTATTTGTGGCAGAGAAGAACCGACCCAGGACCTGAGTCTCAACAGTAAAGATTTGAGGCCCACAAAAAGATTTGAATCCTGGACTTGGAGTCAAATCAAATGCAAATCTCAAAACACAATGGCTCACTCTGCATCCTCCCTGTCTAAATTGTCTAAAAATCAAATGCAACAGTTTTAATACCTTCACTCCTTTTGGCAAGGCTTTACTGGGCAGGTTCTCAGTCTGCCGCAGGATTGACGGCCTCCCAGTGGGCTGATCCAGGACAAAGATGTCGTTACTTGTGCTGTTGTGTTGTTTTCCTCCAGGGCAAACGCCACGGTTCTCGTCGTTCACTTCAACAGAACTCATTCTGTTAAAAAAAAAACATAACTGAGAATTGGCATTAAGGGTCAACTCAACCCTGAGGGTGGCGTCAGTGTGAAAAGCTGCACAAACTGATAAGACCTGAGTGGTGAAGTGTTGTAAGTCAGAGTGCAGCGTGACCAAATGTTTGGCACCAACACTGTTGCAATGCCTTAATCTCTCCACCAGAGCGCACTGAAGTTGAAATTACTTTTGAAATATAACAGTTATTAGTCAGACAAAGTCCACATCTAAGTTCTGGTAATTTTTTATTCTGTAATTGGTTTTAAAGGAGTATCAAAAATGTACTGTTTTGATTCAGGCTATCTGCTTTGTTGGATAGAGACAACACTACACCATTGTTTGATCTGCTAAAGCATGTGTTTAAATAATGAGGTCACAGCACATGACTAAGGCTTCATGTCGTTTCCTTTCTTACCTCAGGGCAGAACTGAAGGGTTGACATTTTTAAAAACTACCATTGCAGCTTTATCTTGAATTTATAATTAATATTGTATGTTTTGCCAGTATAACTTTGTCATTGTTTTACAGATTTTTTAAATTAATCTCCTTTTCCCATTATCTTACAGAAACATAAGGGTTTATCTCCCTTTATTCCATTGGATTTTTGCAAGTGCAAATGTATGTATTGATGTTTCTTTAGTGTGTTTTAGTGTAAATGTATGTATTGATGTTTCTTTAGTGTGGTTTAGTGTAAAAAAAAAAAGTATTATAATAATCAAAAATTGTGTTTTTAAGTTTTAAGATCATTTACGCAGGAGCATTGTGTAACTGTTTAGCTATAACAACAGAATAAACAATGGAACAATGCTGCCTCTGTTTGTTAGTGATAATCTGACCCCTCAGACTGAGTCCACGGTGATGTTTGAACTGCAGCAACCAGTAACTACACACAGGGAACAGGGCAACAGCACGTTTAAGCAATGTAGTGTTAAACAGGCAAAAATCATTCAATGCTCAATTTTGACATTACCGAATTCTTATAGCTCCTGACGCCCTTAGATCTATTACAGTTCGTTATGTCTAGTTTTACCTCAAGTAACAACCAATCTTCAGTTATCTCTCTAAGCTAGCATAAAATGTAACTTGTCCTAGGGACAAAATCTGTAGCATTGCCAACCGGAACGTTGTGTTAAAATCTTAAAACATGGCCGTGACCTGAACACTAAAACCATACTTATATAGACGACACTATTCAACAATAGTATCGCATAGTCCTCATGTGAACCACATTATAACTGGGTTGACAATGTTTGGTTGCAGTTTTATTTCTACATGCGCTACTAAAGCTAAGCTAGCGATCTGGCTGAAAGGCAGCTGATTTACTAACTTCGTGTTTTTGAAATGTCTAAGGGCAATTATCAGATTAAATACACTTCTTAACGAATGAGAACATTTTTGTATTACTAGTTACTGCTTTTCACCTACCTGAAGGTCAAAGACTCCGTTAGCCGATTGCAACAGGGTCCGTTTCGGGCAACAAATAAACTTCTGAAAACCTCCTTCTCTTCTCTTAGTATGACAACCGTTTGTATTTTTAAAGTCTGAAAACCGACCAATGAGATCCCGGGTAATATTCAAAGCAAACGCTTTTCCTGTTTCTTTAGCCAATCACAACTGAGAACTAATCTGCAGCTGCGTGCAGACTCCGTTGATTACGGAAAAGGTTTTTCTCAGCCTAATACGAATAATTTATATGTTTAAACATTTAAAAAAACATTTTTTACCGACCACCCTTAACACCGAACCTTCACATATTTAAAAGTAAGTAATAAGTAAAATCATAAATATAGATGCCCATGTATTTTTTAAAAATAAAACCAGTTTCAGTTTTTCATTAAAATCAATTATACGATGTATGGATGCAATAAGTGTTGTAAAGTCATACACATTTCTAAAACGTTCTTGTAGATACAGACAGAAAAACACAAAAGACCCCTCTGTTTTTATTTAATGCTGGACGTGAGGTACATGCATAATCCTATCCGCCTTTAGATGGCAGTATGCACCGATTTCTTCGATAATCCAATAAAAGAAGAAGAAGTATTCCCACAGTTCCCTGCCCGCCAATTTCGAAGGATGTAAACAGTGCGGACCGTCTTCGTCATCGTTTTGCTTTAAAATATTTTTTATTACATATCGGAAATTATTTGGTGTCAGACATGAATCCGGGTGGAAAAGGTATAGCACGAAACACTGGTGTCGTTTTCATTCGACTGCATTGGACGTTTAGTTTAATATTTGACAACGTTAACGATGCCTGTGTGTGGAGATCATTTTCCTGCTCTTTAATGCTGAAAACGTCTGTGTTGTTTTTGTCCGCACAGGATTGGGCGATTCCACCATTCTAGCTTCCAGGTAAATTGTTTTGAACTTTTAATATTTTGGTTTATGTCATTCATGAACAGTACAGTACTTAGCAGAAGCTAACTGCGTACAGGAGACGTGAGCGGACACACTGCCATAGCAGAGCAAGATGTTATGTTTATGTTTTATGGTTCCGCAGCATAAAAAGAGTAAAGTTCAATGTTGTCTTTGTTCACAACAAGTAGTTGGATTCTGTAGAACGAACTAAACAAAAAACGCAAAATACACAATTGCATTTCTGTTCTTTTAGAAATAAAAATATTGAGACATTTAAAATTCCATAAACCTGTTTCTGATGTCTTTTTTGCAATGGTCTAAATTTTTTAGACATTCTTAAATTATTTTCTGACATTGCAGCGGTGACAGTGACTCCATAAAGGTTTTCGTCAGAGTGCGACCCCTGACCCAGGGCACAGGACTGACCACGGATGGAGATCAAGGTCTGTGCCTCAAAGTCACCTCCCCAAACACCATCCGTCTGCTGGCAAAGCCAGAGCCCAGAACTTTTACCTATGACTATGTGGCTGATATGGACACAACTCAGGTGGGAACATGGAGATATTGTCAACTTTCCCGCTGCTCTGGTTAAAGTATCTGAAGTGATCCAATAATCTGAAGTTTCTGTCTCTTCCCTTCACTAACAGGACTCTGTGTTCTCCAGTGTGGCCAAGAATATTGTCGAGTCTTGCATGAATGGATACAATGGTACCATTTTTGCCTAGTAGGTGGCCTTTTTAACTCTAACTGGGAAAATATGCTATTGCACAAGCACTGTGTTTAGATAATGTGTTTAGATGTATAGTTGTTTTTTTTTTCTCCTAATTTTGTTTTTTTTATATTGCAGTGGACAAACCGGCTCAGGGAAAACATTTACAATGCTGGGTGAGAAATCACTTCCTTTATTCGTATATTAAGCATCACTAACTCTAAACACAGGGATTAAACAAGGTTCCTCTGAATCTTTAATCTGTCTCAACAGGACCATCTGAGTTGGACAACTTCACAGATGAACTCCGGGGGGTTATACCCCGAAGTTTTGAATACCTGTTTTTTCTCATCAACAGAGAAATAGAGAGGGTGAGCTGCGACATATCGTCATAACAAGTATTTTCTATCACTAATTTTCTTCCTGAATTATTCATTTTTTAAAATTTTCTTTCTGTCTTTCTCTAAAGTCTCCTCATTCCAAAAGCTTCCTCTGTAAGTGTTCCTTTATTGAGATCTACAATGAACAGATATATGACCTTCTGGACACAGCCTCCGCCTCTCTGTTCTTGAGGGAGAACATTAAAAAGGGTGTGTTTGTTGAGGGAGCGGTGGAGAAGTTTGTCACCTCAGCTGCTGAGGCTTACCAGGTCTGTATTCCTTTATAAGTGATGAAACACTTTATAATGTCTGTGTTTTAAATTTGGCATTTCTGTAAAGTAAATAATAACAAAAAAGGTCAATGTTTACGCCATTGATCCAAACCCCCCTGAAGGTGCTGTCTATGGGCTGGCGTAACCGACGAGTAGCCTCCACCTCCATGAACCGTGAATCTTCTAGATCTCACGCCGTGTTCACCATGACTTTGGAGTCCAAAGAATCCATCAATGAAGTGGTGAACATCCGAATGTCTCAACTGAACCTGGTGGACCTGGCAGGATCTGAGAGACAGAAAGACACGCACACAGAAGGCTCCAGACTCAAGGTGAAGCTTCAGGCTTTTCTCCGTTGATGAACTCTATTTAACACTCCTGTTGCTGTTAGCATGTATTTTTTCTGTGTTGCTCCTCTTTCAGGAGGCCAGCAGCATCAACCGCTCCCTCATGTGTCTGGGTCAGGTGATCATGGCATTGGTGGATGTGTCCAACGGGAAGAACCGACACATCTGTTACAGAGATTCTAAACTCACGTTTCTGTTGAGGGTGAGAAACTGACAAAACAAAAACAAGATAAAAAAAATCAAATTATTTCTGTAATAAGTCAACCATTAAAATATTAAACAAATGTTAGTAAAATATAATTTCATTAAATGACAAATATAAAGCGATATTTCATATGTTTGGAATTGACAAATACTTGCAAATGCTTACAAATAAAATAAATACATATTGTAGTCACCTAAAATAAATAGACATTACAAAGACTAAGTTCATATGTTTGGAATTGACAAATACTTTTAAAATTAAAAATGCTTACAAATAAAATGAATACATATTGTAGTCACCTAAAATAAATAGACTACAAAGACTAAGGTCAATATAAATTCAAAATACATGTTGCTGCTGTTTACATATTATGAATAAATTGTGGAGTTTAGATTCTGCATTGTTTTTTGTTTTTTTTTATTAATAATGTTTTGTACAATTTGAAGGTCAATATAAATTCAAAATACATGTTGTGACATAAATGTCAGCAGTTTTATGAATGTTATTTCAGGATTCTCTTGGTGGAAATGCCAAGACTTTTATCATAGCCAACGTCCATCCTGGTTCAAAGTGTTTTGGAGAAACACTGTCAACCCTGCAGTTCGCACAGAGAGCAAAACTGATCAAAAATAAGGTATTTGTTGTTTTAAAAACAGGTTAAAACTTTACTATAAACCAGCAAAATTTAGAGAAAAAATTTTTTTTTCCCTATAAACCAGCAAAATTTAGAGAAAAACATTTTCCCATGTCATTGTGTCATTTTCTTTTCAGGCCGTCATCAATGAAGATACACAGGGAAATGTGAGGCAGTTACAGGCTGAGGTGAAGAAGCTCAAAGAGCAGCTGGCCCTGGTGCTAGCCTCCCAGGCAATGGATTATGGGAGAGACGTGGCCCCAGGAGGACCTGAAGCAACATTCAGTAAATTCATTTAAATTAAAATATTTAGACATGTGAAAACGTACAAAATTTGAACATCAGTTTTGCAGATTTTAACAAATGTTTACTGTCCTTTCACTCCTCTAGTCCTGCCAGCGGAGAATCAACTCGACCTGTCGTACAAAACAAAGTTTATTTCAGCCATTCGTCTGTGGAGAAAACGAGGAGAAGAGAAGAAGGTGAGACATATGGTGTTGCTTCAACTTAACAATGAGGTCACATCAATGTCAGGAAAAAAAAACTTGGCTCCAGAAACTTAAAGTTCTGTTCGACTTTGTCCAGATTCTGCTTCAGAAGGTGGCTCAGCTGGAGGAGGCTTGGAAGCAAAAAGACAAGTTCATCCATTCCAGCCGAATGATTGTCAGGTTTCGAGAAGAACACATCTCTCGCCTTGAGGCAAAACTGAAGGCAGGACAGAACCTGGTGTCGAACGACAACAACAACGAGTCTCAGGCTCTGATGGAGCAGCTGAAAGACGAGAATAAGATCTTGAGAGATCAGGTGTTTAAAACTGCCTTTTAATCTTTAACATTAACTCAGAGCGTGAACATTACTGGGCCGAGACAAATCTTGTGTCACGTTCTGACAGTCAAATTATTTCGTTTATAAAGAAAGTGAACAACATTTTGCAACTTCTGTTTCAGATAAACAGTTAAAAAAAATAACTGACACCAATTTGTGTCTAAAACACTCTGTTGTCCTTCAGGTTGAACATCATCCGAAGATGACTCGGTACGCTGCAGAGAACTTCAGCCTCCGACAAGAGAACCGTCACCTGCGTTCTCTGGAGTCAGTGGTGAAAGCTGAAGACGTTCTGGCTGAAGTCGCTGCAGAGCTGGAGGAGGCCTTTAAGGAGGCCATGGAGTCAGAGAGTAAGAGTCGGGAGAATGGAAAAACGTTGAGTAAACTCATTGTTGGTGTCAGTATCTTCTCACGTTCTCGTCTTCTCCACAGGTCAGGGAGCCTCCTTATCGAGTGGTTCAGCTGAGAGTGTTTCCATGGCTGCAGTAGAGAAGCTCAAAGCTCAGCTGCTTCAGAAACAGTCTGACCTCACCGGTGCTCTGCAGGCTTTTGAGGAGTACAAAGAAATCACCAAGTAAGAAAGGCATTAAACGAGAACAGCTTCAGCCCCATTTTTATTTAATGTTATTTATCTAGAACTAAACATCAGAACGTTTGTGTGTTAAACGATCCTGACACAATTAAAATCACAGCAACAACAACAATATTTTCCTATAGACTTTTGGTGAAAAGTCAATGACTATTTTTAATGTGCTGTCTATGAATGGCCTGGATACGCTGAAGATAAACCTGTTTTTATTTTATTTTCTTTATCACTGACTCAGAGGAAGTCCTCATGATTAT